CCTAAACCCTAAACCCTACCTGGGAAACCTGGTGGCTCTTTAAAGTCGGCAACTTGCCACTGTGTGCGTGTTTTGATCAAGAAATAGGCAACTGCTTTTCACAGGGGTGTCGAAGTACAACATATAACCACGATATCGTATGCTTGCTCATGTGGCCATTATCGCGATCCTGGCCTCGTGATGCTCATGCCGGGATCTCAGGTTCCCGGATAAATTTATCTTAAGCTCCGAACTCCTTTTCTTCGCGCTTGCGAGGTCGCACGCTGCTGTTGCTGCTGCTGGTGGCCGTCTCTGCGGTAGAGGACATAACGATCGGTTGCCTTAATACAATGGTATCGTGATATACAAGTCTGTATACAGGTTGCTACCAAGCAGAGGCCAGAGACAGCAGGTATTTTTTGATAGTACGCTCTGAAATCGTCCGGACGGACACTTGCAACGAGAACCTGCTGACTTTACCGACAAAATCTTCGTCGACTTGTGTTGCTTCGATGAGCGGGTTTAGACTAGAAACACCTTCATGGAGATTCTTCTCCAGAAGGAAAATCACCTCCGCAAATAGATGGTATTTCGGCTGGTACTTCCATCGAGTAAGGTTCAACTGCAAGAACGCATGCTCAGCGCAGAACTTGAAACTGTTCAGAAAGCAGCGACCAGATTCGATCGCGTGTCTTCGCTCTGCTTCCGTCAGCCAGGTATCAGCATGGTACAATCCTTTGAGAAACTCGTTCGAGCTGCGAATGGTTCGATGCACTTCTACAAAATACGGCTTCAGCTCAGCCGGACATGTCGGCAGAAGTGTTGCATATTTCTCTTCCAGAAACAGGCTCAGCACCGTTGTATCCGCCCCCTTGAACCAAGACCTGAGCTGAGAACCGCCCAACGAATTTCAACTTGCTGGGCTGGTACTGGTACAAGTCATATATTAAACTTTTACAAAAAGGGTGTGTCACCGGGTGTGTGTGTGTATATGCACGTGCAACCAGGTGTCCCTGTGGGGTATTCAGCGGAGGATGAATATCCAATCGCGCTGCGAGTCAACTTCAGCATGTGTAAAAACTTCTGGTTGTTTTTGCAGAAGGCTTGTATCTCCTCGTAGATCTCGTCAAGCTTTTGTGGAAAGCTCCCATTCGGGTAGTAATCGAAGTCGATGAGTGTCACCTTGGTTCAAGCTTCAGGGGCTTTGGACTGACAAGTATATGAATTGCAAACATACCACTGCAAAACCATAATAAGAGAGATCAGAAACAATCGAGTTCGCACATGCGTCGGCTGACACACCTTTGTGGCAAGTGTGGAACAGGTCTGGCCGGAAGAATTCTGCAGCTCGCGTCACGTCCATCGGGATGTATTGCACAAGTGGGGGGGGACGCTTCCATGGAGGTTCCACGTCTTGACGGGCTTTCATCATTGAGTCGTAATCAACTTTGTGCCACGGGTGAGATTTCTGTCCTGCCCTGCAAAGATGGCAGATGCCGGGCCCGTGCGGCTTTGTGGGCGTGTCCCGGGTATAACTCCGGCTCAAGGTTCCAATTTTCGATAGCCCTCCCCAGTCTCCTTTCAAGCCAATAACCACCGGAAATAAGGTTTCCGGTTCGCCTGAGCCGCGCATGATTTCAACACCCGTGTAGAAGAGGTCATGGAATTCCTGAGCCATATGTTTTGTGAGTTCAAGGAGGGGCTTGTTCTGCCGTTTTCCACCGTATTCATTGGCGAGTATGCAGCTGTACAAATACCTGGTCTTGATGCTGGGCTCTATGTAGTTCATGTCTCCTTTTGAATGGGAGCTTCCACGACCCAAAATACATTGATATTGGATCACCATCAATCCTCTGCGCTTGACAGAAGTGCCTTCATCACAATGTAAGAAAAGTGGAAGACATTGAGCTAGGCGACGATGATGTGTCTTATAAATGGGATGTTTCGGATTGAGTTTCTGATATCTCAACCAGAACTGCTCGTATTCAACAGGGTCGTGGCCCATGAACAGAATGTCGAGCTTCCCCTCGTTCGACAAGCATGTGATGAAATCCTTTACAGAAAGGACTGGCTGCAAATACTTGAGACCAATAGCTTTGTAAGAGATAGGTACCGGGGCTTGAAGGCCAAAGTCTGTAAACACATTCGTCAGTGAGTTTTCGTGTCTGGTCCGACAAAGTCGTGAAGCCTCTTGAAGAAAGGCGGCACTCGGAGTTGATGATGCTCCCTCCAAACCAGAGAACTCTAGCCAGAAAGCATTTGCAATGGCACAAGCTTCTTTTTCACTGACCTTGATGAAGTCAAAAATCTCTATAAACCCGCAAAACCCTCTATATCTCGTCTATGACTATACCCCAACATCGAAAGATAAAACTATCGAAATATTGATTCCCATGTGACTCCCTTGGCCACCGCTCGAGCCACGGCTTTAGCAGCAGGACCTGAGTGGCCCCGGCGGCGCTTCTTCGGCGCGATGGATCCTGGCGGAGGCCGGACAAAGGATCGTTTTTGATGCAGCCCTCAATCGGTAGGGAATTTAATCTGATGAGACAAAACGACTCAATTCAATCGTTTTCCTTCACTCCCCGCGTCAAGCCCCGGTCCAGTAAGACTGTTTCAGTCATTGGAAAACCAACGATCCGATCGACATCGCCTGTCTGCATAGAGAAGCACGAGTGCATTAAGGAGATCATTTTAGCTACTGTTCAGTGCCAAGTCGAGACAGGACTGCGCGGATGAATTTGCAGATCTGCAGCATCACTAAAGGGTGCACAGCTTTGAAACTGGTCGAGGAGAAACCACTAAAATATGTACCCGAGACTGGTACTGCTAATTGTATGTATATAGAGTTATATAGCTGCAGCACCCCAAGGAACAAAACCCATTTACTTGCCCTTGGCAGCATTCTTACCCTTTCCCTTGGCCTTGGCCTTGGCCTTGGGCTTCTTGGATTTCTTGGGGGCTTTTGGGGATGCATCCTCCTCAGACTTATCGGGCTTGGTGTCGTCGTCTTTGGAGGCAGACCGCTTGAGCACAGTCCTCGGTTACAATGACGAACAAAGTGGGATTGGGCAAGCTCGTATAGACTCATGTACACGAAGGTGCAAGCGAGTTACCGCTTCACTTTGGTGTCTTCCATCACAGCACGAGCACACCTTGTCCAAACAAATTTGCTTACTTCCAGGTTGCATACATATCGGGGCCCGTACAAGGTCTCGACTCGGTGCACGATCTCAGTGACCTTCTGGAGCTTCCTGATACTGTAAATAATGCAGGCTTGAAATTCTACAACTTATGTTTGCCTGTGCGACCACTTGCGTGAAAGACTCGAAGCAGGTGGCTCGCCGCGACAGCCATCGATGTGAGCCTTCAGGTCCGCGAGCTCGTCGTGCAACACATTGAGCTTGCTCAAATGATCTTCCATGGTTTTCATCTGCCTTAGGTTTGATGTATTCGACTAGCTTGAGTTCGATCGAGAATTTATATCAGTGAGGGCCAAGCTTGCTGGCAGTCGGTAGTGCCTTCAGCTTGTCCACGGTAGCCTGAATTTTTGACTGCACCTTGAGAGCATTGCCAATGACATCGCCCAGGTTCTCGGCAGCCTGCACAGGCGACTATGCATCCGAGCAGGAACCCTGGAGCGCTTGGCAAGTGAACTGAACAGTCGATCATGCCCATGTACATACCTGGCCTCCAGTGCATGTTCCCGGGCAAAACCATTTGCATCGTTCCGCTTAGGCCGCCTTTTCTTGTCGTCACCATCTTCATCGTCCTCGTCATCATCTTCACCCGAGGCACTAGCATCGTCATCTTGATCGGCCAAGGGTTCGTCCATACCTCCAATCTCGAAATCATCCGGGGCATCACCCTCGGCCGAGATTCCCTCTTCCAGCCGTTCTGACAACTTGCGCTCCTCCACACCGGTTGTTCGAATGTCCACCCAATAGTAGATCAGTTTCTTCTGGTATTTGTCTCGCCTTGGGTCGCAGAAACGAGCTCTGATAATCGATAGCAACTCGATCCTGCCTAGTGAAACACACACGACACATACAAACACAAACACAAAACACACATATATGTGTATACATATATATATATATATATACACAAAGTACAGCAACGAACACACCAAACCACCCACGTCACACACAGAGACACAGGTATAAGCACACACACACACAGACTTTCTCTTGTCTCTATCACGACGTCGCTCCCTCTCTCTCTCTCTCTCTCTCTCTGTATCTCTTCCTATCTCCCGGTCTCTCTGTCTCTGGCTCGTCCCGTTCTCCCTATATCTCCCAGTCTCTCTGCCTTACCCACATTGTATCTTATCACTTCCTAGACATCATTTTTCTCTGTATAACTAAATATACTCTCTCTCCCCCTCTCTCTCTCTCTCTCTCTCTCTCTCTCTCTTGCCCTCTCACACCCTCTCTTTCCCTCCCAGTTGCCCCCTCTAAGTTCATTTTGTCGTGCGTGTTTCCACTCCTGTCCTCTCGCCACTGAATTAAATGCCGAGAAACCGGGTGTGGGTCTTGACCCGGCTTGGGTGCATACAATATGCAACCGCCGCGGCAATCCGTTGCCTGTGCAGCTAGGTGGGTTCAGGGTTTAAGTTTAAGGTTTATGGTTTCCCGACTATATATGGCATTCACGTACCCTAAACTATGCTGGCTAAGAAACTTGTCCCACTTCAACTCATCCTTCATTTCTTTCTTGGTGTAGAATCCACAGGAGACACTCACCGTGTTCGATCGCTCCCGGATGCGCTTGTACTCCACCTTTTTGATGAATTGGGCCTTGCATCATAGATAATGAATGATCGAGGACTATGATCACGGACAAGCCTGTTATAACCACAGACCCAGCCTTGTTCCCGTTGCAGCTCACCAGCATGTCCCTAAGCACCCTTCGAGAGGCACCTCCAGCCCTCCACTGCTTGTAAATTTCTGGATTGACATCCAGCTTTCCCGAGGCGGGCTTCGGGGTGCACATGCGCTTCAAAGCTGCCTCGAGCTTGGCAGTCTCCCTGTACTTATCCTTTCGGGCCTTTGCCTGCCGGCAAAATTACCAGGGTCGGGAACTCGAGTTAGGCTTTAAGCGGGTTATTAGGATTCGGGGTTTTAGGGTTTAAGGCTGGGAGCGACAGGCTTAGGGTTTGAGGCTTTAAAAGTGTACGCACCTTGGCCGTCTCGTCTTCTTCGGCCGAGGTTGTGGAGTCCTGGCGCAGAAGTCGAGATCCGTGCAGGCAGGCTTCCAAGATCATCCGCACACATGTATGATGTATTTCATACTTATATTTACATATTTTCGTTAGAGCAGCTAAGCCACTCGGTCACCATCGTCGTCATAGTCCTGGAGATCTTTGCAGGGCTGGCTGCATGTGTCCTCAGGAGGAGCAGTATGTGCATTAATGGGCATGTACATGAACACAAGACTTGTTGCATACTGTGCATTCAAGTATCCTCGTAAGATGGTTTACTCGCATCTTTGGCTTTCTTGCTGGGAGGCGGGCTGGAGTTGGATGAAGCAGGAGGTTTGCTCGGGGTTTCTAGGCTGGCCTCCGACTTCGAATTCGGAGCTGAGGGCTTCGGCTTCGGGGCTGCAGCATCCCCCTCAACTTCACGGGTGCTTCGCTTGGCAGGCACCGGCTCCGGCGCTGTTCCAAGCCGCTGTTGAAGCTGTTGAAGGCGGCGCTTGGCTTCCTCAAGTTGGGACTGATCTGTGGTGCATGTAGGTCATATAGTATCACGATTATAATAGGAGACACAACGATCGTACCTTTTCTGGTCAAGTTACGAGAAGGGCCAACTCTCCGGGCGATAGGCATGGGGTCTCCGGCTCTTTTTCTTCTGGGGTCTTGCACTGCTTGTCTATGTACGATGCGCCACGATCCAGGGTCTGGCATGTCCAGGCCCTCGATTTGACATCAGCCAGCAAATCCCCGAATTTGGGCACCGCCATAGGTTGCAAGGTGTAGGACCCTATCTAAGCCAGTGAGCGATCTGGCCTTTGAGTTGAAGTATTGCGTGCAAGAGACCGATCAAGGTGCCATCATGGTTTGCATGCACAGACTTGACTGTGTAATACCAATAGATATAGGCTACAATAATGAAAGATCATAAGTGATCCATCTATATAGGACCCCGGGCCTTTAGCAAACACTATGGTACTACATCCCCCACCAAAGACAAAAGAATTATATTATTATTGCGCCGAACTAGTATATATATATATATAACAGAATCCCACAAGAGCTTCCACCCGACAAACCCGCACATAGGTCTCGAGATCCCCAGGCAATCCCCGCAAGCAGGGTTCCAGATCCCCAGACAAAGCCCAAAAACAGCTCCCCAAACCCTTTATAGAGGCTCTCGAGATACCCCGCAAAGGCCCCGGCCCCACAAAAAAATCCCGCAAAGACCCTTCCCGCAAAGGCGTCCCGCAAAGGCCCAGCCCGAGTCTTCTGAAGAAGCAAAAAAGTAGTTTCGGAAGGACACAACCCAGCAAAACGCGTCAATGAAAGTTGCTTATTTTACCCATCGGATTCCGACGGCTTTTCTAGGCAACTTTACGCCTGTTCTCGGCAACTTTGCGCCAAAAGCTGCCACAGTGGTAGCTTTGCGCTTTTTTGGGCTTCACAGCAAGCAACCTGCAAAAAGCGTATCATGGCCCTTGTTGGGGTGGTTCGGGAAATCCATGGATAAGTCCACGGATCATTTCGGACCACTCTGGAGGCATGTGTAAAGCCTTGCTTCCATACATGTATCTCAGTACAGGCAACAAGTCAGCATCCTCGCATAGATCGTCAAAATTTGCCTCCACGCTGATTCGCTCGGCCAGACATCGCCGGCTGGCCTAAATTAGGGTTTACAATATTAGGTTCACAGGGTGAGGGACACAAGTTCAATATGATTGTCCTAGCACAACTGCAACGGGGAGTTCTACATTCTATACGTTGGAGAGCAGGTCTTCGCTGCAAATAAGAGGCTGTGGCTCTAGAGACATCAGTGAGAAGACCATCCGGGCAAGATTTCTTCTTGATCATCGCAGGCACAGATGCTGCGAAGCGAGCTGCGAATCCCAGTGGATACGACCTCAGCTTCCCAGACTGAACTTTTGGGTTCAGGATGACAATTATTCCAGGACATGCTATATTTCTCTCGATCAATAGGTAGGACCCAGACTCGCTCTTTGACAATTCGCGGTTGCCTTGAAATCGTTGCCGGCCCCCCTTGTCATAATACCTCTTTACGAGTGACGGAGTGCTCCGCCTGTTTCTCCGTTTAGCCAATCTTAGCTGCTGTGCCGAGGTTTGAAACTTCCGGATGCCGCGAGTGTTGGCAAACAATTTGGTGCGCTTCATAGTTGCAGAGCCAAAGCATCGCATCCAGAAGGCCTGTGACCAGACCTTAGTCAAAGCCGGCATTTCAGTCAGTCCTGTTTGCACTGTTGCAACACAAACTCACAGACACACCGATAACATTAGACGTGGTGCTATGGATACTCGTTTCAACCATTCAAAGCGGGGGTGGCGCATCAGTAGTGAGGATGCTGGCTGCTCGACCACCCAGCATGCATCCATTGCTTGTATCACAGCGAGTACCAGGATCGTCCTGCGCAGACACAATTCTACTACGTTTCTCGTATATGAGCGAACACACACACACACACTTATAGGCATGCATGCCTGTATGCATATACAGATGTATGCACATACACTTCTGTCTACATACATACATATATATATATATACATAAATACATTTACATAGACATGTACACCCATGCATCAATTCATGCGTGCACATGCATGCACACACACATGCACAAACGGGCTTTCCTACACAGAGCATCAATGTATATACACACACAGACACACCGGCTATATGTATGTATGTATGTATGTA